TTGTGGATGCCATGAATACGATGTGGTGCTTTTCAGGGGTCAGGGCAGGTGCAGCACCGTCTGCACTGCTCAGCCTCAGGAACTGCCCCTTCGCCAGTGTCCCATCAAAGCTGACAAGTGAGTTTATTCAAGGCTTGGAATATGAACATAAGACACAGTTATCTGATTTCCTCATTACCTATGGTGTCTGCTGAGGATAAGGAAAATGACACGCAATACCTTTATTTTTTTTTTTTTTAATTGCGAAGTTACCTGGTGTTAGTAGTGTTTAACGAGTGGTGTCTTCAAGAGAAAATCTATTGTCCTGTCACTGGTGAAATGCTCTTCAGTATGAAGGTGCCATTAACATGCAATTTTTTATTGAGTACTATTAATGAAAATTAGAAATTCTATGTAAAAATCCCTACCACTCTTCCATATATTTCATACTCTGGAATAAAATTGCACCCTCAGGAATCTTATTTTAGATCTACATAAAAAATATTTATTTATACATATAATATAGAAAATAATGTTAGATATGTATATCTCAAATGGACATGAGCTGAGGTAAATGTGACCAATATCCTGAGTCAGCAATAATAATTAAGAGTGCAAACTAAAAGTATAGCTTCTGATTAATGTTAATTCTTTTTTTTCCTTGAAAAAAATGAGAATGGCAAGTAAACACTGCTTCATGGACTGCATATTAATTCACTATGTTCTGCAAGACTGTAGTTCTATTCTTAGCATCTTCATAACATTTCGATATGAGTAATTTTAGCAACACAAAATTTTGGAGTACAATCTTAGATTTTTTTTCTTGTGAAAGTTTCATATTTTCCTACATTATTTTCCATTTTTAAGTCACTGCCTATATGAAGTAAGAACTTATAAATTCACTGGAAACTGATTCAATTTTTCACTGTGCAGGAACTCCTACTATTTATGCAGTTTTCATTGATGATTTTTCTTTGGTTCTGCATTCTGTGAGATTCTTTTTAAGGTGAAAGGCTTCTTTCTCCTCTCTTATTCTTTAATCCTTTTGAATGATTCTTTTAGAGTTCTTTATAGATTTTTTCAAAGTACAAAGTAAGCAACTCGTAGATATCAAACTTTATCACTGTAGGTACTGAATCATGAAAACAGGAGGGTGGGACTGCTAGTCACATAACCCATCATGACCTGGAGGAAGGGTAAGTGAAGTAGCTGGAAATGCAGGAAGTGGGACCCTTGCTTTACCTTCCTTCTAATCCCAAGTCTTGATTCTTCTTGCCTAAGTTGAGGAGGTCACTTTTTTTTTTTTTGAGGACATTCAAGTCTGACCCTGGGACACTGCTTTGGCTCTCATAAAGAAGTGAGGAAATACATGATCACAGAGCCTTCAGTCTGGGCCGCCCAAAGGGCCTTGTCTGCTAAGTAAAATGAAGATTATCCCCAGGGAAATAAATTCAGTTCTGTTGAATGGAGAATGTGAGTATTTGCTCTGCTGTTCCCTAATAGGAATTGCAGCTGAAATCAGTGCTTTAAGTCAGGTGTGGGAAAGGAGGATTACTCTTTTCCATTCCCAGCTGCACCACTATGTTTCAAAAGCACTTTGGGTCAAAATGCTGTCTCAGGCTGGAATTTCATCTTTCCACAATGCCTCTGTCTTATTCTATCTGATGCAAAAGGCTTCTAGGAGTTGCCTTAGTAATGCCCAGTAATGTTCTCCCAAGTCATTGATAGACACTTGTTGACCATGCTGCTGTCGGAAAAGGGACTTGTTACTTATCACGGCAAGTTTGTGCAGACCATACTGTCTGTATACTGTCTTCTAAAGAAAGATGGCTCATGCCAATTTTTTTTCTTTTATCTTGAAAATCAAGCTTCATTGTTGTTTATTCAAGCTTTTAGTAGTCAGTCATCTGGCTATTGATAATTCCTTAAATTGTACTTTAATTGGGAGGCACTTAATGAATCCAACAGAGTTTTGTCTAATCTTTCATTAAATTAAAAACCTAGATCAGTAATACAACATAAATGGAATAATGGCCTGTTATCCAAATTCCGTGCTATACCTTTCATGTGTAATTGATATGGACTACCTGATCTCTCTGTGGAGTAGAGGACGACATAGAAATTCAGCTTAGTCATGCCTTTCCTGTGTGGTATTCTCAGGACATAGATGGCATAATTGACTACAGACATAGTTTAACAGCCATCTTTTAAGTTTCATCCAGTCCTAGTAATTCGTGTACAGTCCCATGGGCTGTATCCAAGGATTATGCTAATTTTATTAGCAACTCCTCTTGCTTTAATTAAACTGTATAAATTCCCATCTGGTCACTGTTGTGCCAACACCCTTCTTTCCTTTTTTATTTTAATGTATAGATAATTTGTGGGTTTGCATTTCAATTCTGATTTCCTGAATTATCCGTTGTGTTTTCCACATGAAATAACACAATTTTGAGGGGTGAACTGGACTTCAAATTGAGCTAATGGGTTTGAGGGAATCTCTGGATCAAAGCAAAGACCCAAGTTTCTAAAGTTGGCCAGGTCTTTTTGGGAGCAGGTTGTCAAAGTATATATTGCCCTGTTGAAAGCACCAACCTATATGGTGCTGTTCAAAATACCTACAAGCAAGCTCTGTATTAACATTTACTGTGTTTATACCACAAAGCAGAGCAATGTGAATTCCTCAGTGGACTGTTAATTTACATGTTATACACTTTCAAATATTTCCAAAAGCAAATGTGAAATGATTAGTAATCTGTTCACATGCTCACAAAATGTTATTAGCAAAATGCCTTGGGCAGTGTGTTATGTTGACTAAAATTGATAATTTTGTATTTTAAAACTAAAGCAACTCCCACTGCCCCTGAATAATTTTAGGGCCTGCCCAGAGCCCAGATCTTCTGGTCACACCACTTCTCAAGGTGTGTGTTGAGCTGACGGGGTAAAAAACCAAGAAACCCACAAACAGCAACATCCCCCATCCAGAGCAGTGACCTAAGGTTTGATTGAGTCAGCTCTTCTGAAAGCTTCAATTAAAGTTTTCTGTGGAGTCCTGCATTTTAAAGTGCCTTGTTATCTATAAAATTACTGTGAGGAGGTGATTCTGTTGTTTACCACTTGTTCTGCTTATGTAAGTTTTAAAGTGTGTATGTTGCTCTGAAGAAATCAAGCCTGGTGGTTCTTTTTCCTTCTGCATAACTGTCTTTCACCAGCTGTGTGTGGTTCTGACCGAGCCAAAGCCCTGGACAAAATATGTCATACTCCTCAAAGTGTTGAGGTTGTTTTTTTGAAGAGGACCAGAGAGCAAGATATTTAATGGTATTTGTTAATGTATCTCTCTTTTTTTTTTTTTGAATAATGATTTCCATGCCTTGCAGATGCAAATATAACATGACACTTCCTTCTAAATACCAATTATTCTGTCCAGAAGAGTTGCCCAAAAGTCTACTCCTCAAAGTTTCACAGCAGACTCACATGGGATAATAAAATTCCATAAAGGCTGTTGTGATAGTCAGATTGTGCAAAAAGCCTGTGCCATAGCCGAGTATTGTTTGCATGGGTGCAAAACATGTTCCAGCAATTTACATTTACAGCTATGAAGTAATTGAATAAAGAAATGCATCATCATTTTCTTTTTTAGAACATAGGTGAATTATTTTACCAACTTGGGAAGGGGTGTTCATATAACATCATGGTGCTTTGTGCTAGAGAAAAACAATTACAGTGAATAAGGTAGAATGGCTCTGTTATTGCAGTACATAAGACTTTGATTACATACTGCCAAGATTCATACCAGCCTAGTAGTTGTTGACAGATAAAGTAACAAAAATGAAACTCATTTATTTTTTCTTTATTGAGACCTCAAGGTAAAGCAAATTTTCAGTTCTTGTACTTACTACATTGAAGGAACAGAGACTGACAGTCAAAATGTGCCAGTCCAGAAATATAAATTAAACCTAGTTTCATATCAAAGTTTCATTTAGTCTCTGAAAAGGAGCTGCTGCTTGGATTATTTTTGATCCTAAAACAAATACACTGTAGACAACCGTAGTGTATCTTGGATGAATTAACCCTCTCTTACATTTAGCTTTTATGTATTTTCCAGGATATGCATCCATGTCTATTCAAGCAATTAAAACATTTGTTATGGACTTAATTATTTTACTTCTTTTCCCCCTGTTTAATAACAATTTACAGTGTTTGCAAACCCAGTGAACATGTGGATGTTTTTAACAGAGTGTAGCATTTTCGCTGAAGAAAATACATATTTTGAGGAAAAAGTTTCTTTCCTCCCTCCTTGTGTAAGGAAAATTCTTCTGGCTTTTACCATCAGTTCTTCCAGGCAGCTAGACGCTGTATTATTTTATGATAATTCTAACAAATGATTTTTTGGTAAATTTGTTTATTTTCTGAAGAACAGATAAAAGTAGCTGTTAAAATAGCCAAGTACTAAAATGAGTGGGTTTATCCCATCAAAATCTTGGATTAGTTGCCTAGTCCAACTGAACATAATTGCTGTTCAGATTAATGAGGCAGTGTCCTGGTATCTCCTCCGTAATTAAACACTTCTCTGGTTCAATACAGTATTAAAGATGCACCAGACATTGAAACCTCAGTGGTGAAATTTAAAACTGTTGAAATTGGAGAGGTCAGCTGTGAAATACAAATTCCTTTGCAGTATGGAAAATTCACTCGTATGGTGTGTTTCAAGAATAATTTGACTTATATTGGGGATGCTGTATTTGTAGAAATGTTTCTTATCTTTCTGCCATCTAAATGTGAGAATTGTTTTTCATTAGTTCTTGAGAAAAAGTAACATAAAGTGCACTTGTTTCCACAATTACCTTCTCTGACCTTTCACAAGATGATTGCAGTACCAGTAGGCTTAGAGGACTTGTTAAAAAAATTAAGCTTGTAAAGTAGCAAAAAATGCCCCTTTGCTTGCTGGTGTCGATTTCAAAATTAACATTTTAGTTCATGTGCTTCTAATAATCGCTGACCCTTACTTCATGTGCTTTCCACAGGAAATGAATACAGCAGAAATTACTTTGACCCATTGATGGGTGAGGAAATAAACCCAAGGCAGTGTGGGATGGAGGTCAGTGAGGAAGGTGAGGCAGAATTAAGTATGTAATTTTGGTGTCAGAATATTCTTTTCCATTCATGAAAATGAGGTGTCAGAGATCACATATGCAGTTCTATTTAAATATTGAGGTTTACAATTTAAATTCTAAGCCTTAACTGCTCTGAACACGATAGCCAGAGTACACAGACTTTGATCAAGGACAGTGAGTTAATGGGCAGGTAAAAATGAGCCTGTTCTGGATTCACTCTGCTACTGTAGCAAAATGAAGCATGCTCCGTGAGCGTTTTCTACACCCCCATGTTCTTTTAAATTAATGAAGTGAATCCAGAACTGAGCGCTAAGCTCTAGCTTTTTCACAATCCTGCTCCCAAAGTCCTCCTCGGACAGCAATTTTATTACAGAGTTGAATGTGTGTTTGCCTAACAGAAGGAAACCCCAGAGTTAGTAAAAGTGCACGAGGAGGCTTTTTTGGTTTTCTTTTTTGCCAGTTTAGGCGAGATATTTAGCTTTGCTCTGTGGGCGATAGCAACCGGTGGGAGGGTGTGACTCCGCAGAGCTGGAGTGAAGTTATGCATAGGTATGAGAGAGATTAACCAGGAGGTATTGTCTAGCAGAGGAAATTCTCCTCTGCTGTCACGGCTTTTTAGATAAAAAGGGTGGGAACGGGCCTGCCTGAATTTGCATGGACTTAAGTAAGAGCATCATCATGGTAATGAAGTGCTTAGCTATGCACTGAGTGCTTTGTCCCGGCTGCTGTTGCTAAGCACTAACAAGCCGAAAGCACGCAAGAGCCAGCTCTCCTGTGTTACCTTGCTAGCCCTCGGCTTCTTTAGAGCCTGTGCTTATTTCTACTGCAGGGACTCTCTAGGCGCACAGCTGTAGTCAGATCTAACAAAAAGTTATCTGTTGCGTCTCAAAGTTGTTCACTTCTGAAAGTCATGAGAAACTCTGAGCACACATGGAGGTTTTAAACTTTTGAGACAAAAACTTGTGTGATTGAAAAAAGCAGGCTCTGGTGAAAAAAAAAATCAAGGTTGATCAAGGTTGAGTTATATCTAATCCAAATTATTTCCTCATTCATTGTGTAGGATAGCAGTGTAATATCTTGGAAGTCAACTTCTGGCTCAGAGTTTTTAAAGGAAAGACTTTTTTCCTGTTGGTCTTGCCTTGGTTCATCTTATGAAAAGGCTTTATGAGTCATGATCTGCTTCATAACCAGAGAATGAAAAGCAGATTAGATTTATGTATCTGTGCACGTATGCCTGAAATCATGTACGGACAGAGCGGTGACATAAGGGATATACGGAAATACAGTTCTCGTTGGGAGGAAATGTTCTCTAGACTCTGTTGAAGAGGCTGAGTGATAAACTTAGTCATAAATGCTGATTTTGTATTGTGTGGTGGGGGTTTATTTATTTTAGAATTTGGAACAGGCTCTTAGTCCATAGACTTCCAGGGTTTGGAGTGGAGAGACGGTTTTAGCCAATATCATGCTAAGCCTGAGGTCCATGTGTGAAGAGCTGGTTTTTGATGGCTCTCCTTTGTCTCCCTGGCAAAATTTTTGCTCAAATGTTGGGATAACTCTTGCTTATTAAAAGTCAAATAGCAATAGTGCCAGCCTTAGGTTGGCTGTGTGAACCTCTGTAGAGCAGTTATAATGCTATATTTACCAATACCTCTGCCAAGAGCAAAACATTTACCTTGCAGATATTGAAAAGGTGCCTGGACATGGCCCTGGGCATCTTGGCTCTGTTTAAGCAGGGGAAATTGGACTAGATGGTGCCTTCCTACCTTAAGCAGTCTGATTTGTCAGTACTTACAAACCAGGCTCACTGTCTGGCTTCTTTTTCCTTGAAGAAGTGTTAAATTTGTGGAAGTATATTTGTATGTAGTGGATGGATTAAAAAAAGATGGTCAGAACTAAAGCTTGGTCCTGCATGGTCATCCCTTGATTGGAAACCATACTGGTTTTCCTCTTCTTTCCAGGTTCTCATGAGCAAGAGTCAAAACCAGAAAAACATGAAGAAATCAGGGCACATGTTGAAGTCAGACTTTTAGAACTTTAGGAAGCCAGGCTCAATGACCAAAGAGAATATCTGGTGAAAAGCAAATCTTCAGCCACTATTATCTAATGGGTTATTCTCTGAGAATTAAGTTATTGGCAATTATCTTCCTATATTTGATAAATTAGATTTGTTCTGGAAATTTGTATGAGTTCGTAACGCCCTGAGAGCAAACAATGTCCCACTATGGATTTGCTTCCCCCCTTGACAAGGGAACATTTCAATGTTGCAGGCTAAAAGAAATGTAAGAGATTCTATACTTTCAGAAGAGCTTGAAGAAGCCACTACCTTCTTTGAAAGATCCGTGTAATTGAAAAACTTGCCTCTGAAATTTCATGGGAAAAAGAAATTTATTCTTTGAGATTCTATTGAGCACTTAAAAAGAGTTTGCATGTAGCTGTACTTCAATCTACCTTATGCATTTCTTTGGTCTTCTATCTGCCTGTCTTCACTGACAACTTAGAGAAGTCAGGGTCTGGGAGATCTGGGGAGAAAATGGTCCCAATTGCTCATTTCTTCCTTGAATGTAGAACCTTTAAGTAACATTTTTTCCAGGTCTCATGGAAAAGGGTAAGTGTGCATGTCCTTTGCTGCTTTTAAAAATCTGCAGATATTACTGAAAATTTGAATGACTAACCAGCCACAAATTCAAAATTCATAGAGTGTTGTAATGACTATACGTACTAGATAATGTGTTAGTATTATGGGCAGTAAGGTAAAATTTCTAGTGAAGATCCAAAATCACATTAGAATAAATTGAGTATTTTGATTTTCATTAAGGGTCAAATATAATTCATCTGGCAATCTGAATATAAACAGTCATTTCAGCTGCTCTATTAGCAGAATTTATAAACCAGTTTCAGTCCAGATCAACGTATAATGTTGCCCACCATTTAAAAGTATATGACTATATTTTTTATTTTGAATTGTCTTGCTTCAAACAAGTGACTGTAATTTTATTCTGAGCTATGAAACAAGCACTGTAAAAACTATCTTCAAGTGTCAAAGGGATTCCTAACTTTTGTATTTTTATATCTTTACGTTCAATTTAAAATAGTATTTCCTGAAATATTACTGAAAGAAACTATAGCTGTTTCACTGTTGTTTTTTAAAGATCCTGTGAAAGTTGATGAGCAAATCCTTTACTCTAAACTGATGAAGCTTCTAGATGAAGAAAACAAGATGCTGGACTTCCAAGGTAAATAACAAAGTCAATTGCATAAAGAAAAATAAAACTCTTTTGAGTCTGCATGTGGGGAGGAGAGAGGGTAATCCATCCCCTTGAACTCAGAAGTCAAAGGGATGATGATTTTAATGCAATTCTGTAAGGTCTTTTTCTCCAAATGTTTTTGTTTTGTGTCATGTTTATGTGGTTTTAACTGTAACTTAAGTGGCGTGCTTTCTCTAGATTGCTTCATTGCATGTTGAATTCCACACTTACAAAAGAAGGCTGGAAATATCATTGCTTATGTGTTCAAATCTAGAAATGGAAATCCTTATTTAAGCTGATAAATGGGTAGGCAATTTGTCTGATGCATGGGTCATGTTACACTGTTTCAGGTTATCTATACAAGAATTTATGCTTACAGACGAGTGAGAAAGTGTTTTCTGTGGTTCTCTCAGAAAATACAAATTGATGCTCCATCTACAGTAAAAACAATTAAGTACCTGAGACTTCTTCACCTCAAGCGAACAGTCTTACTTTGATTTCACTCATTTTTAAGGCATTTAAGGCATTACATAAAACCTCGTTGATTCATGAGACCTTTACCATCACAGCCTTTACACAAGGCCGATGTCTGCTGCTCTCCCCTGGTTCATCCCAGGAGAAGTGATGTTTGCACGAGCCCAGCTCAGAGCTGTCCTTGTATTTTTTGCCTATCCACCCCCTCTTTTTTCAGCAGTTGTCTTTCTTGCAAAATTATTTTGTATCCTTTGTGTCTGTAAGAGGCTTCCTGTTGTATTTCAGCAGTACACGGGCCTACTCTGTCAGAGAGACAGAGCAGGCGGCTGCCTACGGCACTGGAGCTCCAGGAGCTGCAACTTGTTTTATGACTATTTAGTTTATAAGCAACTTTGTTCTGGAGGAAGCAACTGTTTTCATTTGCCTACGGTTGCAAAATCTCTTGAACTGGCACTGGTCATATCAGTAACATCTTCGAAACCCATTTTATCTCATTTAAATGCAAGAAGAAGAAAGTGCAACCATCACAACTAAATTCACACAGATAGTTTAAGCAAAAACCTTTAACTTATTAGCAAGATCTCAATTGTTCTATGTTAATGTCAATTCTGGGACAAGAAAATGCATCAGCATGTGTGCCTCACTCTCCATGTGCACGTCAGAGCCCCCTGTGCAGGCGTGAGGGCAGCAAATGGGGGACGCACTGCAGGCCCCTGCTGTCATGTGTCTCAAGCTGTGCCTCAGTGCTTTTATTTCTTAAAAGTGCCGTGATGGGTATCAGAGCTAGTCCTGTGGGTGAAGCTGCACACTATTCTAGCTGAATTTATTACTTTCCTTTGCTTGGGTGAAGCAAATCCAGAAAAGAGAGATTTTTCTGGGGACGTGAAGCTTGTGCAGTTTCCACCTCTGTGCATATATCAGAGTGTATTTATTTCTGCCTGCGTTTTTCCCTCCCAGTATTTGAACCAGTTGGTCACTTCCAAACCTTTTTTTTTTTAACAGGGAGCAAGTCTCACAGGTATGACTTCCCTACCAGTTTTATGGAAGGGGGCAGTTGAGCAGAGCAGACAAGCATTATTAATACCTCCACCGAAGGAAAAGCTAATATAGAGTTTGACCCTTATTAGCATCAGAAAAGCCATAGAAAACCAGGATTCATTTGGTTCCTCTCTTACAGAACTGCTTAGTTTTTTCATTTGGCCACTGAGCTGAAAAATTACGTAGTCATACAGTCCTAATTAATAGATGATCCCCAAAGGAAAGGAAAGAAGATGGCTCAGAATTTATATAATTGTATATTTAAAGCATTTTGTGCCTGAATAACCTGTTGGTCACTCTTGTGGTATGTGTTATTTCATATTATAAGGCAACTTTAAAGGCAACATTGGTGGTTTGTTTTTAAAGATATAGACTACATATTTTTACCTTGCATTTTGGTCAATATGAAGTTGTGATCCATGAACAATTTAAGTGATGATATATGAATGCCATAAAAAGTAATTTCTATTATATTGTTCTTTGGCAAGAACCAAAAAATTGAAGTGCCAAGTTTTACAGAATTTTAGTTGTCTGACCCTGGTGCATGAACCTTCAGCACTGAATGTTTTTAGATACAATTTGTCCATTAATCCATGGTTTTCTAGACCAGGTAGCCAAAATTATTTTTCCATATGGAGTTTGTTGAAGCTTTATCAAACCCATGCTGAGGTGTACTCTGCTGCTGAATGTACCCTTTAAATTATCATCTCAGTATAAAAACTGCAGCTATCTGGATGGACAAATACAGATAGCAGCAAGGCACAAGCAGTCAAGCTAATACCGGGGAGATTGTTTTAATTACAGTCCAGCATCTGCAAATACAGCCTGTGCTGAAGTGATTTAAGCTACAAGGAAAGCATGATTCTCAGGGTTAGGTACATCCAAAGCAATGAAAATTTTGATGCCCATGCTAACAACTTCAAGCAGGAAGTTTTTAATTAGTTTAGCAATCCATTAATGAATTTTCAGCCATTTTATCCTCTGTGTACAAAGTAGTAGAATTTTTGACTCTGACTACTTTTGTAGAGTGAGGATTTGGTTGCTTTTCTTTTGGTCAAGTATTGCTCTGGAGCATGACCTCAGTCCTCCAACCCATGATCAGTTCAAGCAAGGACCAACCTGATGCTGACCAAGTTTGAGAAGTTTCTTCGCAAAGACACTGCAGAAGGAGCAGATCAGCTGAACTAACCCTCTTCTCTCCTTGTTTCCAATGCAGACAAATTGGCAACTGTGCTTAAATGAGCATATGTATATTTTAATCAAATATTTCTCAAATCTAAATTGTAATTTATCACATTATTTTTCAGAGTTGCTTCCCATGAAAAGGTTTTGAAAATGCTCTTTTCTTTTTCTCTTTTTTGACAAAATTTATGCTGAGTCCAGTGTCTTCCACCAAAATTGAGTAAACTTGATATGATTCCTCACAAAAATAAGAAACACAAAAAAGAAAAAGTATATTTTGATGAATTGCTTCATGTTTATCTTTCTGAACCAAATAGTTTTACTCCCTTTTTGACTATAGCTCTATCCTGAATCTACTGACTTCCCAGGATGTAAACTTGCAGTGCTCCTGTGAAAGCAGTAAAGCAGCTGATTTATACCAGCTGAGCATATGGCCTGTTGTGTACAGCACAGCGTCAAGGGGAGCAAGAGATGCTCCATCTTCTGCTTTTGGCAATGTTTCTTTTTCCTGTGCTTCCTGGGTTTTCTCTCTCCTAGCCAAACCCTTAATGTTACAGTAAATTTAAATGTAAATATTGTTTTGTTTTTGCAGTTAATAGTTGTAGGTCAAATCACTTTTCATTAGGTTTGTAAAGTGCTACATGAAGGGATGTGTACCCTAAGGTAATGGTTTGAGTTGTTTATATCCACTGTACATTTCCCCCAACATGATTTTGAATTGTATCCTGTTGTAATTAAATAGAAAACCCACCCTACTTCCTGTGTGTTGGTGGCACTGAGGTGATTTAAGTACTCGGGAGGCTTAACAATTAAAGTCATTAAACAATGAGCAGTGAGCAAAACTGGAAATGTTAATAGCCTTAGTTTTATCTTTCCTTTTCTGGTCTTCATTAGAGAATGAAAGACTTCAAAGGAGGCTGAGGGAAAAAACCCTCTCTTTTAACTGCTTTCATGTTGTAGGATGGACAAAGAGAAGCAAATAACTAGATATGGCAATTTCTTTAAGAGATAGGCACAGAGAACTATAAAAGCTTACACACAGAAATATGAAGCAAAACAGATAGATGTGGGCAATCTGATATCTGTTATTTTTAAATGATCCTAATGCGGAGACATGAGCAAAAATAGTTGTTATTACTTATGATCCAAACTAGTACTAGTACTATAGCAGACATTGATGAGAGGATCTAAATTTTTTTTAACATAGCATGATCAATTAAACTGAAAAAAGACCAAGTTTCTCTTTAAGGCTGACTTTATGAATGAGATTTTTATTTATGTGGTGCATGTACCCTTTTGTTCTGCATACGTTACTGTAGTGAAATCAGGGGAGTGTTGTGGGTGAGAGCAGAACTGGACCCTGTTAATTAGACAGGAGCTGCACACATACACCTAGGGAAAGGAATCCAATCGTTTGTGATGAGTTGAAAGGAAGATGAAATGCTTGCTGTAGCTTCACCTAAAACTCCCATTCAATTGCAGTTATTACTCCTCTTCCACAGGAAGGAATGCCAAAGTTGTTCCAAATCCCAATCCCTCTAAGATTAACAGGTGAGCAAAGTCCCAGTGGAAATGTGGATCATGCCTTTTAAAAACTACATAAGGAACTAGCTGCACATACTTATTTGTACCTGAATTCAGATGTTGCACTTGAGGACACTTTTCCTGGCACTGGCACTTGGCGCCTGTCAGTTGTCTTACTGATGCTGTTCATACTTTAAGTGTTGGTGGGCCAAACATGCTAACTGAGAGGGTAGTAACCAGTGAATGAGCTCCCATTTGCTGAGAGATAGTCTGCCACTTTTGTTTCCAGCAGCCCGTGTCGTCAGTGAAGATTTTCCGGACGCTGTAACGCCTGTCAGCTCCAGTAAGGCATGTGACCTTCACAGGGAGCTCGAAGATGAAGAGATTCCTTCATATATCGAACAGTTTGAGAGAGATGTTCAGAATGACATAATTCTGCTTGGCAGCTTTTCACTGGAACAGGTCAGAGTTAAGAACTATTAGACAATTTTATCACTTGCTTCATAACATGATGCTGACTTGTTAACCTTGTACACCCCAATTCTATTTCTCTGCCTGGTGATACTTATATTGAAAGAGGAAAGGATAACCATTGTCATTGGCATGCTTTATGTGACTGGCACTTTGCTAAGCTAACAGCAGGACCTTTATCTTTGTCTCCATTTCAATATGAATAAAAATAGATTGCCTTCATGGCTTCTTTCCTAAATAGTGGAGGATCTCTGACTGCTATGTAGTAATATTGCAATTGAGTTTCAATCAAGAGACTAAGTCTAGGACATCTCTCTCTGCCACATTTAACAGAGGCTTATTCATCAGTGAGCAAGTTCGGATTGGAGCCCAGGGAGGATTTATGAAGCAATGTTGATTGTACGGAGGATAAGATTATTTCCCCATTATAAATCTGTTATGTTTGTCAGGGTGGCAGAGCTTTCTAAGCTTTTTCTTTTTGTCATTCATGGCATGAAGAGACAGGTTCTGGTTCATGTTGACAAAGGCACAAGTTTGCAGGGCTGAAATGATACTTGTGGGCACCTAATGACCATTTGTCCCTTTGAAAAATTTCATACTAAGACTAGAGGACAGGAAGAGAGATTAATTGATGAATCTATCATTTTTAATTAGCAACATGAGAACAGCGCACTGGCTCTGATGGGCTTAAAATAGGTTATCCAGTGACTGATGGTGATCTAAGCTTTCTTTTATTTTCAGGGGAAGTTTTTAGATTTTTTTTTCCCACTGCAGGACTAAACCTTATCATTGCCTTCTGCATGATGGTGAGGGACACAATTCTCTTCCTTACTGCTTTCCTCTAAATCCTGTAGCTATATTTCATTCCTTGTGACTTTTTAATAGCTGTATGCATCATGCATGGAAGGTGGTATGGGTAATACTGTTCAGAGAATGTGAAATGGAAAGGAACTGTGAGGGAAAAGGACTCAGATGGTACTAAGAGCCTCATCTGCCTCAAGGGACTGATGGAGAATGAACCTGGGAATAGGTGAACAGAAAGTGCTGCACCTTTCCAGAAGATTATAATGTGTTGAGAATTTGCACTTTAACTATGTTTGGGGTATTCAGACACCCCCAAAGCTTCATGGGACCTAAAGGAACACAAGAGATGTGTCAAAATTTTGTTTACCCTCCCTCTAAATATGGTCACATGGCTGATTCTTATTTGGAATCTTTTTGGAGGTGTTCGGCAGAGTTTGTTTCCTAGAAACAATCTATCTGGTCACCCCAAAACTATATTCTGCTTTTTAACTGACAACTACATGTGTAAATTTACATACAATACAATACGATAGTGCTTTTCTTCCTTATATTAGCCCAAAAGAAAGGGAATCCTCATTTAGTGGTATTGATTGAGCTGGTCTACCATGAGTTTTCAGAGAGGGACTCATTCTTTACTTTGCAACAAAGAGGTCTTGAGTCCCTGTGTTTTAAGTCCATTCCTCACACATCTCTAACTTCAGTTTTTCATGCCCTGCTAGGGAATTTAGTCCCACTGACACAGTATTAGCTGTCACATCTGCATTCTGCAATACAGAGAGTACGACGAGGATCCCTGTAAAATCTGTATTGTCTTCTAGCTCAGTGATCTGTACATCCACCCCTTCCTTAAAAGACTACAGAAATGTTCAAACAGTCCCTTTGAACAGAAAATAGAAGAGCTGACATTGGAAGTAGATGCTGCAAACATCATGTCATTGTATTGGGTTTACAAATTTTGGTATGGTGGAGGTGGCTACGAGGGTGGTTTCTATGAGAAGCTGCCAGAGTCTTCCCCCATGTCTAGCAGCTCCATTCCCTGGTGGCTTCAAGATCAAAAACACTGCCCAAGGCTGAGCCAATTAGAAATGGTAACACCTCTGTGATAACGTATTTAAATAGAATAAAAAAGCAGGCAGACTATTGCACAGTTGTAATTGTAGCCAGAGAAGAGCAGAGTGAGAATATGTGAGAGGAGCCGCCCTGCAGACACCAGGCAAGGTCAGTGGAGAAGGAGGGGGAGGAGGTGGTGGAACAGAGGTTCCCCTGCATGGTGCAGACCATGGTGAAGTGGCTGCGCCCCTGCAGACCAGGAGGACCATGGGGATGCAGGGATCCACCTGCCGCCCAGGGAGGAGCCCACACCAGAGCAGGTGGATGCTTGAGAGGAGACTGTGATCCTGTGGGAGGCCCATGCTTGGACATGGTCCTGGTGGGACCTGCAGACCTGTGGAGAGGAACCTGTGCTGGAGCAGGTGTCCTGGTAGGACTTGTGATCATGATGGGGACTCACACTGGAGCAGCTTGTCCTTGAAGGACCGTGTTGTGTGAAAGTGTGACCCTGGAGCAGTTTGTGGAGAACTGTTGCCATGGGATGGACTCGTGCTGAAGAAATTAATGGAGTACTGTGTCCCATGAGAGGGACCCCCAGCTGGAGCAGGGGAAGGACTCCTCTTCCTAAGCAGTGGCAGGAATAACCTGTTCTGCCTGATGGTCTGACAGTAGCCCCCATTCCCAGTTTCCGTGGGCTGGAGTGGGGGGAAGTAGAGCTGGGTAGGAGGGAGAGCGGGAAGGAAGGTGTTTTTAAGGCCTTATTTTTTTTCTCATTATCCTGCCCTGATTTTGTTAATAATAAATTCAATTAACATTTCCAATTCTATCCTGTTTTGCCAGTGAAGATTTTTAGCAAGCAATCTCTCCCAACCCTTATCTCAACCCATGAACCCTTCATTACATTTTCCCTCCCTTGTCCTTCTGCAGAGAGGAGTGACAGAGGGCTTTGGTGGGTACCTGGCATCCAGCCACGGTCAACCCACTACAGCCCTATTGTATTCCAAGACCTCTAGCAATAATGTGAGCCTGCTAATTCTTGTTTAATTGATCTTCTTTATTCTTTAATGGACCTCTTTACTCTTTGATCCATGAGTATACCCCTGCAGCATTGCAGTGTTGATGCTTTTCCACAACAGCTACAGGTTCATTGTTAGACTGCTGCCATGGCCCTCAGAATCTGTTGCTGCTGACTTTGGGATGCTTCCAGCTTTTGTTGCTTGAACGTATATTTATTGGTTTGTAAAAGTCTCTAATTTTGTGCATGGCATTTACTTCTTATTCAGTAGAAAAACTCTTCCCTTGTCTCTGCAGGTTTAGTGAGTAGCAGATGTACTTTAGCCAGCATAATTTATGATTAGTTAATTTAATCTGCCATAATGACATAAAGTGAGCCTGAAACAAGCTTCTATCAATTTTGCCATTAGAGGTAGCATAATATTTTCAAATGTCTACAAAACTGAGTAATTAACCCTTGGGCTGGGTAAAGGAGTCTAACAGACATCTCCCTCACATTCCTTTGTTTTGACAAAATGAAAAAAAAACATGGGAGCCCAAGGGTTAAAAATACCGGGGAGATTTTACAGTATGTGAGACTGGTTTTATAAGTGAGGTTCAGAAACACACTTGAGTTGCTGCTGTTTCTTTTTAGGCTGCCAAAAATTCTCTCCAATGAGGCACCTGATTTACTCTGGAGCATTGCTGAAAGTGTTGGCATAAAAATGATAGCTATATATCAACTATCTATCCCTTAGCTTGTTGTTTTTCTCTGCTTTGTAGCATTATAAAAAATAGGTGACTTTTTTTAAACAGCAGCTCAGTGCGTGAGATGACCATGATTCAAAGATTTTGAAAGGGCAGATGCATTTCTCAAAATAATATTTTTTGGAAAAAGGGTTTATGTTAGATTTTAGCTCTGGAACTTTAGGCTGTGTTGTTTCTTGCTTCATGTCCTGTTTTGTAAATGCAGAAAAAAGAGCTGAGTTTGGCAAGAAATGCATAAAGGGAGATCTGATAGATTCTTGCAAAGAAAGCATTAAGCAGATGTCAATGTTCTGTTAACAAATACATTAAAGAATATTAAATTTGGAAAGCAGTGCTGTTTTGTGTGACCTGCCATGTAGACACAAGGATTTCAAAGGCCCCAATGACATTTGCTTTCAATAAAGAAAAATAAACTCTGTTGCAAGAAAATCAAAACTTGAGACTGTGTTGTGGTAGAAACTGAGGAGGTACAACCAAGGCTGGATATTCAGAGCACCACAGAAAACCATTTGTCATGAGACAATGCAGGGGCACATGCTTAGGGGTGGAAATTGATCTTACGGGGTAGAGAAATATGCAAGGAAATACCTGAAATAATGCTGACTTACCGTGTTTGCTTAAAAATGTGGTGCTCTCAAAACACTGCTGAAGTTGGAGCAAACAGTGATGATTGGAGTGAGATTGCGCTTGATGAGCTTTTGGCAACATAATCTTGCTATACACTAATTTGAATTCCATGGAAAAGTACTACTAACTCTAGAATTTTTAGCTATTTCTGAACTGAGATAATAGAAGCGACTACTCAGTATTATGTAGGTTCTCTCAGAAAAAAATTAATAATGGGGTGACTGAAAGGATCAGTACTGCCCCACAAACCAAGAACATCTTTCCTGTTTGCCCACCTTCCTCCTGCAACTCGGTCAGTATTCTTTACCAGGGGCAATTTGTTCGCAGCCTCCATCTCTCTCTACCAGTTTCAGCTGCTACATTTACCCCTCTGTGCAGGGCATAGAACCTTGCAGGACTTGATCATCATCACTATATAATCAGTTTTGATCCATGACCTCCCTGTGAATTACTCAGGAGCCTCTGAATGTAAAGTGCAAGTTTTGCTCTTCGGTACCAGCAGCTGAGTTATAGTAGTAAGAAAGGAGCTATTTGTTGCAGGTGGATAGTAATAAAATGTTGTCTTTCATCAAAAGATTTACCTTTTGGTTAAACAAAGGTTAATGCCTCAGGGTATTAGGTCTAATACTCTTACAGGGTCATTATCATCACTGCTCTGACTCCTTGCCAAGTCACAGAGATCAATTTATATGATGATGGAGAGATCAGTTTTCCTTTCATTAACAGTGGGTAGAACATGGGTAAAATTT